GCTTGGGAGGGACGAATCGAGTGTCTGGGGGTCAAACACAGTACCGTTGTGACCCCGAACATTGGTTCTGCGCAAGATCTCGGGTCCAATCTAGTCGTAGTTGTCTTACCCATTGTTTTGGCGATCGGCGCGGGCCCTCGCACATCCCCTGCCCCCCCCCATGGAGTAGACCTTGGCTGTTTCTTGGCGCCGCTTTCCAGCAGGTGGAGTCTCCCCCATAGGACGCGCGGTTGCAAACAGTCGCGCTGAATAGAGGTCCGGAGTCAGACCCCCCGCTCCCCCCCCCCACTTTCGCTCAATGTCGACACGCCGAAAGAAAACGTTCACCTGTCGTGTTATTGGAGAGGCCTGACGGCCGGTGCCGCCGACCCTGATCGAAGGGGCTAGGAGGGGGAGGAGGAAGCGAAGGAGGAGGAGGAGGACGAGGACGAGGAGGAAGAGGAAGAGGAGGAGGAGGAGGAGGAGGAGGAGGAGGAGGAGGAGGACAGGGACGAGCACGAGGACGAGGAGGAGGAGGGGGAGGAGGGAGGACGAGGAGGAGGAGGAGGAGGAGGAGGAGGAGGTGGAGGAGGAGGAGGAGGAGGAGGAGGAGGAGGCGGAGGATTCGCAGGAGAAGAGAAGGAGGTGGAGGGGGAGGAGGGGGAGGTGGACAAGGGAGGAGGAGGAGGAGGAGGAGGAGCTATAGATACCCCATTATTGTGTTGTACGGTCGATGTGGTGCGATTCGCCTTGCTGAGTTTGATTGAAGTCGTAAGTTCTACCGCTCGTGACAACACACCACCCAATGGCCCACAAATTGCAAGCACATCCCAAGTTATCGGCGACAACGACGGTTGATACTACGTTGGTGATATTGGTGATGGTGATGGTCATGAAGCTGAAGCTGAGTGATGATAACGACGAAGTTGATGGTGATGTCACATTGGTTGTCTCGGAAGCCGTCTTAAAAGCTTATTGGATCGTCTTGAGGCCGAGCAGAGCGCAGGAGAGCAATTAATTCGGGGCGGGGTTCTCTGTGGGACTCGTGCGGCGAGGGTGTGGGGAAAGGGGTCGGCTGTTGAAAACATTAGAAGAACGTGCCAGACAGCAGACGGGCATTCTAACCCGCTCACTTCGTGCATTCGCGGTGGCGGGTGCACATTGATATGTCAATCACAAATTCTATGCCTGCACACAACCTAGGTGTGTATGGGCGTATGTATACATATGGATACACCTGTGTGTATGTATGCATGTGTTATGTAGTTATGTGTGTATGCATGCATGCATGCATGCATGTATGTATGTATGGATGTGTGTATGTGTGTATGTATGTATGTATGTATGGATGGATGGATGGATGGATGGATGGATGGATGGATGGATGTATGGATGTATGGATGTGTGGATGTATGGATGTATGGATGTGTGTATGCATGTATGTATGTATGTATGTATGTATGTATGTATGCATGTATGTATGTATGTATGTATGTATGTATGTATGTGTGTTGTAAATATGTATGTATGTATGTGTATGTGTGTGTATGTTTGTCTGTCGGTCTGTCTGTCTGTCTGTCTGTCTGTATGTTTGTATGTATGTATGTATGTGTGTATGTGTGTACGTGTGTTTGTGTGTATGTGTGTATGTGTATGCGTGTATGTGTGTATGTGTGTATGTATATGTGTGCATGTCTGTACATATGTATGTTGGTATGTATGTATGGATGCATGCATGCATGCATGCATGCATGTATGTGTAAGTGTGGCCGCGCGTGTGTGTGTGTGTGTGTCCATATCCGATGGCAGTATCGATGTAAAGGCGGGGCAACCACGGGAAAACCGAAGGACAACCTCGGGAAACCGTGGGACAACCACGGGACAAACACGAGATAACCACGAGATAACCACAGACAACCATCGGACAACAACAGGACAACCACGGGACAACCACAGGACAACCACGGGACAACCATGGGACTCCCACGGGGCACCGATGTCATTCTCCATCTATTGGTCGATCTCACGGTCGATTGATCTCAACATTAATCGATCCCGCAATCAATGTATTGAATCCCATATTGCGCACCGCGGTCGACTAGCCGAGTGGTCGTCGGCAGTGCGCCTGTGGGGGGGTTCTTGAGGGCCTCGTGGGGGTCTCTCGGGGCCTCTCGGGGGGGGGCATTTTGGGGGCCTCTCGGGGGCCGCTTGGGGGGTCCTGGGGGGCCTCTTCGGGCCTCCGCTCAAAATGTCCGATCGGGTCCCCCGTCTGGGCCCGCTCTTGGAGCCGTCTACATGTTGAGCTCTCTTGGAGGCCATTTGAAGCACTCCTGGAGCGCTCTTGGGATCCTGCTGGGACCTGGCCGGGGTACTTTTCGTCCAGGGACCCCCAGGGGCGGCCCCGCACGCGCGAACTAGAAATATTGTTAACCAGTTACCGGAGATCTTAGCACGCCCTTGGCTCGTTGGGCTGGCGAATTTTCCAGTCTTCTTATCCATCGGTCTCATGCTCGATCTATGTATCCACTCACCGGCTTCACTATCGATCCAGCTGCCTGCGGCAACAGTGCAACGTGAAGGAGGTTGAGTTAAAGACGCAAGTTGGGGCTTATCTGGGTCCTCTTGAGGGCCTATCGGGAGCCTTTGTGGTCCGCTTGTGAGGCATCTAGTGGTCTGTAGAGGGATCTCTTGGGCATCTCGGAAGCGTCCTGGGGGCCTCTCAGGGCCCTCTTGAGGGCATGTTGGGGGTTCTTGAAAGCAATCATTAGGAAAAGGCTGTCAAGGCCAGCTCGATTTTTCCCTCTTGGGCCCCTCCTGGAGTTTTGTTGATGGACTCTTGGAACGGTTTGGAGCTCACTTGGGCCAGGCCGTCTTGGGCCCCCCAGGGCCGCCTTGGGGACCTTTTGAGCAGTCTTGCCCTTTCGGTTGCCAGAAAAGGCCAACATCTTGAAGTATTCAAGGTAAAACATACGGGACATCAGTGTTGATTGCTGCTAGAGGGCCGCTTGGACGTCCTCTTGGAACCTCCTGGGCCATCTCGGGTGGGGGCTTCTTGAGCCGTTTTCAGGCTATCGTGAGGCCCTCGGGCAACCTATTTCCCCCCTCTTGTATTCGTGTTTCGCGTGGGGAGGATGTTCCAGGGGCGGTCGAAACGAGGCGGAATCGGCCCTAGAAAACATAAATTACCCTAAGGCGTGCCCAACCCATCGACACCAAGTGATAATAGATGGTGTGCCGACAATAATGCGACAGCAACATTGCAAGAGACGGTGCGCAGCGGAAATCTTTGCCGTGCGAAGTGTGCGTGGCCGTTTCGCAGAGCAGAGGTACACAAGGCCATGAGGCATTGCATTGGGAAAGAGGAGTACAAGGAAGACATCGGGGTGGGAGAACAATAACCTCGGCAGGAGCAGCGAGATAATGGCGAGGTCTGTTGGGGATTTGCATGGGACCACACTGTGCTGGCCCCCCCAGCAGCCCTCGAAAATGGCAACAGCTTCACACTTCGCAGCCCCCCAGTGATGACCAGGTCCCATTTGGATATGCGTGGGACCCCATTGTGTTGGCCCCGCCCAGCAGCCTTCGAAAGTGGCAGCAGTTTCACGCAGCCCCCCAGGGATGGCCAGGTCCCCGTTGGATCTGCGTGGGGCCCCACTATGCCGCCCCGCCCAGCAGCCCTCGATAGTGGCGACAGTTTGACAATTCTCAACCCCCCAGGGATGGCCAGGTACCATTTGGGTTTGCGTGGGACCCTACTGTGTTGGCTCTCCCAAAAGCCTTCGAAAGTGGCGACAGTTCCAAACTTCGCAGACTCTCATGGATGTCCAGGTCCTGTTTGGGTCTGCTTGGGGCCCCATAGTGTTGGCCCGCCCAGCAGTCTTCGAAAGTGGCCACAGTTTCACACTTCGCAGCCCCCCAGGGATGGCGAGGTCCCGTTTGGATGCGCGTGGGGCCCCACTGCGCTGGTTCCCCCAGCAGCCCTCGAAAGTGGCGACTTTCACACTAAGCAGCCCCCCCACCAGGGATGGCGAGGTCCCGTTTGGATCTGCGTGTGACCCCATTGTGTTGGACCCCCAGCAGCCTTCGAAAGTGGCGACAGTTTCACAATTCGCAGCCCCCCAGGGATGGCCAGGTACCATTTGAAGCCTTCGAAAGTGGCGACAGTTCCAAGATTCGCAGACTCCCAAGGACGTCCAGGTCCCGTTTGGGTCTGCGTGGGGCCCCATTCGGTTGGCCCCCCATGCAGCTTCCGAAAGAGGCCACAGCTTCACATTAAGCAGCCCCCCAGTGATGGCGAGGCCCCGTGTGGCTTTGCATGTGGCCCCACTGCGCTGGTTCCCCCAGCAGCCCTCGAAAGTAGCGACAGTTTCACACTAAGCAGCCCCCCCACCAGGGATGGCGAGGTCCTGTTTGGATTTGCGTGGGACCCCATTGTGCTGGCCCCCCCGCAGCCTTCGAAAGTGGCGACACGTTCACTCTTCGCAGCCCCCCCCCAAGGAAGGCGCGGTCCGGCTTGGGTTCGCGTAGGGCCCCATTGTGTCGGCCCCCCCAGCAGGCAGGCGAGAGGAGGACGGAGTTGGTTCCCCCATCAAGCAGGTGCAGGCCGGCGCAGGCAGGCGAGAGGGGGGCAGGGAGTACGGAGTAGGGAGCAGGGAGAGGCTTGGAGGAGAAGGAGAAGGGAGTAGGCACCCCACTTCTTTTTTCAAAACGAGAACCCGAATATGGGAGTCAGGGGAAAATTGCCCTGCGACGTACCCGGTGTGCCAACAAAAGTGTGACAGCAGCAATACAAGAAATTGTGCACGGCGGATATCCGCATCGCGCGAAGTGTGTGTGGCCGACTTGGAGAACAGGAACAGAGGCACAACAGGCCAGGAGGCATTGGATCGGGAAGGAGAGCCCCCCAAAAAAACTTGTACGTACCCAACCCTTTTTAAGCATGCGGCGAGTTTACATCAGATCGCTCAATACAAAAGCCATCATTGAACGATCCGCAATGCCCTTGAACGCTTCGCCAAAGA